TGATGAGAATGAGCCACATTGCACCAATTTACATCAAAGCTGAAAATACAATCTGTTGGCCTACTCTCCCAAATCCCCTGTGGAGATACAGTCATGTGTGCAAACCCATTTTCAGATGTTGCCATTACATGAGAATCCTGCCACATTTAAAGAGAAGTATATAGAGCAATTGCCTCTGAACTTCTCTGTATTTATGAAATATAGGACTGCATTACAGACCAAGAAATGTAGCTGAGAAAGACCACAGCAGTCGCAAGAGCTTAAGTAATAACCCTTTGAACTTTTATTGTGGCCTTGTAAACTCCACAAACTAGTTCCTAAAATTTTCATCCTTGTAAAAGCTTTCATTCTTCATTCCGCTGCTTTGTGAGGTAAAACTACCGTCACCTCAGAAAGATTTAAGCTCTAATGGGAGTAGATGCTTCATGATTTGGCTGTATTCCTTCAACAAATTAAGGCAGTGACTCATTTCCTTAATTATTTTTATCTGCAGGAATAAGATTGGCTATGACTATAAGATATTGGGGGGAGGGGGAGGTTAGAGGAAGTTTGAAAGCCATGTCAGGGAAGTTACACGACAGTCAAGTTACATGGTAGCCAGTAGGGTCTATGTGGGTGAAAGTCGGCCACTGAGGGACGTTATGTTTTCACCCAAGCAGGGATAGGTTGAGAACCAAATTTAACGATTTGGCAATTCTCTGCTGAAACAAAGATACAGAAATGCATTTCTGACAGAAATGGCTAAACAAAATTAGATGTCATGATTCAAAGGAAGATTGTGCCACTATTGTTCAAGCTGAAACACGAACAACAAGGTAAGTTATGTTGAAAACAAGGCAATTATTATAAAAGAAAGGTGATAACCTGGAATCAATATGGGTCACAATTCACTTGTCTTTTTGTCCCAGTGTATATAATACATGCGTGCACGTGGCCATGCATGCTTTTTTCCTCCCCACCCCCACTTTTTTGCTTCTGCTACCCGTTTCCATCTAGAGGATTTGAACAGATTGCTGGCATTATGGCAGCAAAGAGTAGCTTGGCAGCACTTAACAATGTTGTGACACTGACTCCTTTGCTCAAGGGCAAGGATAAGGAAGGAATACTGCCTCCAGCATGGTGCTAGAACCCTGTGTCAGGGACATTCAGAAGTTGAAAGCATTAGCAGAAAAGAAGAAGTCTGAAGTTATTTTGGGTTTACATACTTTCAAAATCGCCAGGGACTGAAAACACAGCCAAGAATTGCTTCAGCAGTATTCCTTCATAAATCTGCATGATAATCTCTCAGAGGGGCTTTGGTGAAATTACAAGTATACATTTACTAAATTGAGTTCAGTGTCCGTATCACACACTAACACACCTCATTAATATTCAGTACCACCAATGCTTATGAACTCGGTGAAGTTTGCATGCATGCTGAAAAGCAATTCAGATTAAGAGCCCATAACTAGATTGGGAGGGAGAGGGGTTATAGGCTACAGACACCAGCCCATTCACACTTGTAAGTGCCACTTGAATTAAGGGGGCTTGCCTAGGAGTAAATCAAGAATCACATCAAGAACAGCTATAGCGTAATTGTATCTGAGGTACCTTTGCCCAGCCCCAAGTATTCAAGGTCTTGTCCTTCAGACAAGAGAGCTCAGCTAATGGTTCCCATCTAGAATTAAAAAATGGAGCTCCTGACTTTTAAAAGGCATCTCCCATGCCCTCAACTGTCTTGGATATGCAAATACTGGTAATGGTTCTGTTGAATTATTGATTTAATGGAACAGAGGTATGACTTGAACTTTAGACTTTCCAGATTAAGTATCCAACACTGTACTTCATTATCATGATCTTCTCTCAAGATCTACCTGCTTTGTGGATAAACAGCTTTCCTTTTTTTATTTATTTGGCAGCTGCCAAGGCTGCTTACTTGGCAGCGCTCTCTCTCTAGTAATAAACATACTCTTAAAACACTCCCAGAGGATAAATTAAATACCTTATTATTAGATCTAGGTTTGGCACCTTTGTTTCCCTGACAGAGGCTCGGCACCTTTAACAGCTATGTGATAGGTAGAAATTTCGCAAGTGAGGCTTCTGTAGCATGGAAATATGAAGATGTGGAAAGTTGCAGTAAAAAGAAATCTGCATGACATCTAGTTATTAAAGGCATAGAGCATCTGTCAGGGAAAACGGTGGCAACCTTATGTTTATCTTGGAGACAATCTACCAATTCACAATAAGTACATGGTTCTGCTCTTTGCTGAAGGTAGAAGCTCAAAACATTTCTGTGGTAGCCAGGGTGGGATTGGGCACATATGCTCCTGGAAATAAAAAAACATTTCAGGTAGGAACCTCACATTTTGGGTAGGGAGCAGGGGTAGAACTTTTTATGCCTGAGGCATTTATATATGCAGTATTTTTTTTATTTCAGACCTTTCAGACAGGCAGTTTCCCCACCTGCAGTCAGAAATGGTACAGTCCCAGTGAAGCTGTGTCACAAGATTATTCTAAATGTACAGAATATACAGAAAGAGGGGATGAAACCCCATGAATAATCAAGACAAAGAGGAGATCACTTGTATAAGACTTCTGTTTAAGCTATACATATTTCGGGATGGATCACTCTGTTTTCAAAAACTGTATACAAAGGCAATGGACAACACTAATGCAAATATAATATAATATTCAGTCGCACCATAAAAGATTTAACATGAATAATAATAATAAAAAATCAGTTAAATGTTTCCCCCCCAATCATAGACCTGCTAAACCAGAGCATGCAAAGAATGAAAACAGGAACAGTAAAACACATAATATAAAGGATAAAACCAGTGCTTTTTTCAGGGCGCACTCAAGGGCACACAGTACCAGCACCTCCTTTTGTTGTTTTGCCACTTATTGTAACAACTTCATGGTGAGTACCAGCACCTATTTTTATAGAAAGAAAAAAGCACTGGATAAAACATATACGCATTTAAAATACTATATGATATAAGAGATACAAACATAAGATACAAATTGCAATTAAAAATAGAATATCATCTTATAATACCTTTAGGCAGAGGAGAGGAACTTGGCCACTAAGTCTGTTATTATCTTATTTATATCAGCAAATAAATTTTCCAGGTACCTTTCCAGTGTCCTTCCAGGGTGCTTCCTCATAAGGAGGCAATTTCATTCCTTTGTCTGAAGATTACATTCAAATACGACATGTCCAAAAGTTTCAACTACTTCATCTCCGCAGGGACACAGATGATCCATGTATGGAACACCTTAAAATATAAACCACAAAATGAGGCTGTATTGAACTTTAAACATTCACTGAATATTCTACAAAGAAAATCTTCTCAGGACTAACACTTTAGCCATAAAAATCTTTGAAATCTCAATTGCTCTGAACTTTACACAATAATTTATCTTGAAGAGAAATGCAACCTGTGTCTAAAGCACTACACAGTCAGCTTAGCATCATCAGCCAAACAGTAGTAACAACCATAATTTATATGGTCTTTCATTAGTTACAGAATTTAAAATTCTTAAGCAGCAGTCATTCAGACTATGCTAACCTGTAAAAGCTTGTTTAAATTTAGGGGCATCTTGTTCTTAAAATATGAACTTACTGGATTATGCAATGAGTAGAGCTAAAATAAAAGTATTGCACCAGTGAGCACCAGAGTTTGATCTCCTCTTCGCCTTCTTCAAACTTACAGAATGGCTATGGAAACAGTGTTGAATTACTTTTAACAAAGTAAATGGTAATCTCACTCAATACAAAGAATCAGAAAAAACAAAACAAAAAACAAATTACAAAGTAACAAAAAATATGTGTAGTTGTTGTTGGTGTGTGTGTGGTTTTCTGAAACTGCTAAGCATTCTTGGGTGTTATATACAGTGGTACCTTGGGTTACAGATGCTTCAGGTTACAGACTCCACTAACCCAGAAATAGTACCTCGGGTTAAGAACTTTGCTTCAGGATGAGAACAGAAATCGGGCGGCGGCGGCACAGCGGCAGCAGGAGGCCCCATTAGCTAAAGTGGTACCTCAGGTTAAGAACAGTTTCAGGTTAAGAACGGACCTCCAGAACGAATTAAGTTCTTAACCCGAGGTACCGCTGTTCAGGTGTTACAATATGGCCAATCCAATAGAATTTGACACTGTAGAGATGAATACAAACAAGATGCCAGTACTGAAGGCCACAGTAATTTGCTGAGAATTTAATGTGCATTTCTCCCTAATTTTAGTGCACAATTTGCATGTTTTGTTTGGGATGTGACTGTGCTTACATTACAGGAGCATCATATTTTCTAAGGAGTGCAGTACAGTGGTACCTTGAGTTACAAACACCTCAGGTTACAAACGCTTCAGGTTACCAACTCCACTAACCTGGAAGAGTTACCTCAAGTTAAGAACTTTGCCCCAGGATGAGAATGGAAACCGTGTGCCGGCAGCGCAGTGGCAGCAAGAGGCCCCATTAGCGAAAGCACACCTCTAGTTAATAACAGTTTCAGGTTAAGAACGGACCTCCGGAATGAATTAAGTTCGTAACTAGAGGTACCACTGTATTTTGGAACTAGGAAAACTAAATACATCACAAAATAGTACCTATATAGCATTTAGAATGCAGTGTGTGCTCTTAGACATGAAAATGTCATTTTCTGGACATATTTTTGATTGATACATGTTTGTGCACTCCTCTGTCCAAATTTCCTAGTGAATTATCATGTCAGATGTGGTTGTAGCTTTCATGCTCCAGTTTCCATTAATGAATCTGGACACTACTTTATACCAAGTACAGGATATTGTACTTATGAATGGTGAAGAAATCAAGTTTGCTTTGTATTTTAATACGTACTTACCTTTTAATGTGATCCACACTTGCCCAAACAATACATGTACCTAAGCATAGCTATCCTCTGAAATTCGCAGTTCTATAAAACTTGCAATACAGTTCTCCAAACAAACTGTGTGTACAGAAATGCATATATTAGGGGATAATGTGCACAGAAATGCTCATATTGGGGAATATACTTTGCCTAATATACACATTGTGAGATATATATATGTATATCTCACAATGTGTATATTAGGCAAAGTTGCATACAAAAATATTTATATTAGGACACAAAAATGCTGACAAATTTTCATGATGATTTTTTTTTAAAAAAAGAAACATCACAAATGGATGCAGAAAGGGAACTTGAAAAAAGGGGAAACTGAAAAAATCAAAACTGACTGACTTGCCCATCCATAACCAAGTTACACTGGATTAGAGAGGATGACATTAACAGAAAGTGACTTCTGAATATAGACTTCTGAATGCTTCTCACCCAGAGCCTATTCACCCAGTGCTTTACCAGTTGCACTGGATCCTGATAGAGTATAGGGCCAGGTTTAAGGTGCTGGTTTTGACCTTTAAAGCCCTTTGTGGCTTAGGGCCCTTGTATTTACTGGACCGCCTCTCCTGGTATGCCCCACAGAGGACCTTAAGGTCCATGAATAACCATAGTTTAGAGGTCCGGGGCCCTAAGGAAGTCAGACTATCCTCCACCAGGACCAGGGCCTTTTCAGTGATGGCTCCAACCTGGTGGAATGCTCTGTCCCATGAGACTAGGGCCCTTCAGAATTTAACCTCCTTCCACAGGACCTGTAAGACAGAGCTATTCTGCCTGGCTTTCAATTTGAATTTAGCCTGATCTTTTATTCCCCTCTCTTCCCTCCCCCTCCCATTTTTATGAAGATTACCCTCTCTGGGTCCCCACAGCTAATTCTCCCCTGGCCTCCTCATTGGCCCAAATAGGACTAATTTAGCCAGCTAGCCCTTGTGACCATCTAATGTTTATTGGATGGATTTTCCCCCAAATTGATTTTTGAACTTTGAATTTATTGTTATTCACGCTTTTATGCTGTATTTTTTGCTGTTTGTTGTTGTATCATAATTAAATGTTTTAAATTTGCTGTTAGATACCCTGAGCCTGGTTTTCTGAACCAGGAAGGGCTGGGTATAAATAAATAAAAATATTATTATTATTGAGGTTGCTTTAGGTGTGAACAATCCATACTCCATCTAATTACTTGTTTTTAAAGAGAAACTATCTTGGATTTTGGACAGCAAGTAATGTGAAGAACAGAAGCTGGGGTCCCAATATGAGCTTGGTGGGAACTGCAGCAAAGGTCAAAGGGTTAGAATACCACACACATCATCATCATCAGCAGCAGCAGCAGCATGGTCTGGATTGGGGCCATGTGCCTGCAACTTACTTCTGAAAAACCATACACACAACAGCTAAAAGCGTTGCACCTTTAGTCAGACTGGGAAGAGAATTTGTGTATTAAGGCAGAGAGTGCCTTCAAGGAGAATTAACATAAAGAATGTATTACATTCTTATCAAGAAATATTATCGAGAAATCAGATTCTCACTCCCGAACTTTCCTTTTGCTCAGTCCCTCCTTTTCCTTGCAATACACTTTTGCCCATTATAAAATAAAAAGGGTTTTCCTTGATGGCATTTTCTTGACTTAGTCATGCTTTGAAAAACCAACAGGCTCTTTTGCTTCTTTCACTTGAAGATCCATCATCCAAAAGAGGCTAATTTTCTCTGTGGGTATGCTTGTCAGATCAGTGAACAGCAAACCTGAAACCTTAACAAATAAAAACTGAAAAGCTGGCTTTGGAAAGGTAGAATTGTACAGTAATTTCATCAGGAGCAAAAAGATATATAAAGGAAAAAATGCATTGTGTATAACACATGTGAAATGGGTTATATTAGCCTGAAAATTAAACCCACCTAATAATAATAATATTAAAAATGGTTGCTGCAATCTTCCTTATCTGGTCACAAGCACACCTGGCTATGTGTGTCTCTGATGTTTCAGGTATGATAAAGGTTTTTGGTGCTTTTTAAGGCATTAGAACTGCTGTGCAGTAAAACAAATTGCTTAATGGCTTGATAGAAAGCCCTAGTTTTCAATTATTATTGTGTATCTGGGATCACACTGACAGAATTATCAGACATGCAGATACTGAAGGCAAGTTCACACAGTCAAAAAAATTACCAATAGAAGTGAAATTTTCTTTATGCTTGTGATTTTATGGAGGTTTTAAGACATAATGTGGCATACCTTATTTTTGTGCATGATGTTCTTGTAACTTATCCTAGGGCAGCCATTGAACTCCATTAGACTTGCTGCCAGGAAGCTGTATCTCTTAACTGGGACCATGTTGTGAGACACACTACAACCATGCATCTGACGGCATTTTTGTGTTTGCTATCTCTAAAAGACAATACAAACAATTCTGCTTTGGGCTAAAGATTAATCAAGAGACAAGCTGGCCAACACAGCAACTGAATCAGACCATCTGACTCAGCCTTGTCTACCATGACTGACAGCAGCTTTCCAGTACTTCAGTTTTTCCCGGACCTACCTGGAAATGCCAGGGTGTTAACCTGTGACCTTTTGTATACAAAGCATGCAATCTACCATTGAGCTTTTCCCCCTTCCCTGGGCCTAATCCTAGTATAAAAGAATTTCTACATCAGCACAGAAGGTGGATCCTGTCAGTGATGCAAATAGCATAGAATTAGCAAAAATAAAATGTCACCTGGGTTACAGCAATACACAAGTGCAACATACATATGCACTAGAGAGAGCCAGTGTGGTGTAGTGGTTAAGAGAGATAGACTCGTAATCTGGGGAACTGGGTTCACATCTCCACTCCTCCACATGCAGCTGCTGGGTGACCTTGGGCTAGTCACACTTCTCTGAAGTCTCTCAGCCCCACTCACCTCACAGAGTGTTTGTTGTGGGGGAGGAAGGGAAAGGAGAATGTTAGCCGCTTTGAGACTCCTCCGGGTAGTGATAAAGCGGGATATCAAATCCAAACTCCTCCTCCTCTAGAGTAAATTGTTCACTGTGGATGTCAATATATAAACAATTACTTGTCCAGATCTGTTACCCATATATCCATATGAAACACAGTGCAAATGGGACACTTGTTTATCTGGGCTTCCACTTATCCAGGCACACTCTATATCTCCTAACCCATTTCAGTAAAGGAAGCAAGAAGCATTACTGTATGAATAGTGTACATGCAGTTAGGCTGACTGCTTTTCAGGCATATTGTAGAGCAATACTGTAAAGCTATACTGTATCTTTATTGCCTTTCTCCTTTTAAAAAAAAATATACATGGCATAATGACCAGTTCTATAATTACTGTAATATTGCCCTGCTGTTTAACGAGTATGCTGATTATGCTTTGCAAAAGTTTGTGGAACAGCTTTCTTTAGTCTCAAATTCATGACAGTTCCCCCTTCTATTTGGCAGTACATTAATGGAAATGGAAAATTGCCTCATTCTAAATGTCAGAATAATAGAGCACCAAAAACAGTTCAGTCATGTCTTTCAAACCACGCACATATGGTTCAGCACCAAATGTCACTATTCTTCCCCACTTCCTTCCCATTTGTCTCTAGTCTCTTATCACTGTCTGAGTCAAAACTTTCTCAAAGGCTCAGTTTGTAACCTGCCTTCCTTGTCATGATATTTTTTCTTTCTAGCCAGGAAAACATATAGATCTCTGCTTGGTAGCCTAAATTAGATATGTCAGTATGTATGTATTAGGCAAGTTTTTAGAGGCCATGTGGTTACAAATGCCAGTCTTAAAAGTCAACTTCACTTCATTTAGTTTTCTCTGATGATTCAAACTCTTTATGTCAATCACATCACTGATCCCTTTGAGACTGGAATGCAACCCTCCCCCCCAGCTCTACTGCATATATTTTCATGCTTCCACAAAACACTAAAAATTTCTAGCAAAACTAGCTGTTCGGTGCTCTGTCCTCTCTCTCCATCAGTCATGACCAGACCCAGAAGCCAACTAACAAGTACAGGGACTGCAATGTAGTCTTCCCTCTTTCCCCATAACATTTCATGGAACATTATATTATGTACCACGTCCTGATTTGGCATAAGCATTTCAGTCTCTTAAGTAAACTGTTGCTCAGTAAAATAAAACTGTTATTTCATTTGTTTAAAATGGCTTTATTTAATGTTATTTTAAAATTTTGATTATAACGCCCTCTTTTTTCTGGATTCACAATATTATAACTCTTCCAGCTAGCACATCTACATGGACTGGGGCAGGGAATGCTCGTGGTTACGTATCTACACAAAGAAGTCCATAAAAATAATTGATACCTATACCGAAACTATTTTTGGTTCTAGAGCAGAAATAAGTGGTTTTGTTGCAAATGGGAAACCTGACAAATTTCACAGGCATGCTGTGGGGATTGGAACACGATTGAAGTTTCTGGTGCCATTCAGTTTTCATTTAAGCCCTTATATTCAACACTGTGCACCATTCCACAATACATGCTGCGCTCTCTTCCCCCAACAAATATTTTTTCAAAACAACAACAAAATTCTAGTTCTTATAAGACAGAGTTCCATATATATAATATTCACTATTGTAATATATATATAATGTTCACTACTGTAATGCTTCTAGCAATACTTAGTAGCTCAGAAATGAAAATATATATATTGTCCATGTAGACCTACCAGGTGTATGAAAATGACCCATAAGGCTGTTTGGGGCAAATAATATTTACCTGTCATCCACCTAGCATCCCATGATGTCAGGTGCAGAGGTCTAATATTCACCAATATACTGCTCCTAGCAATATTGAGTAGCATGATTGCCCCCTTCCCTGCTTCTCACTTCAAAATGTCCCAAAGTGATTTACAACCAGAGCAAAAACACAATAAAACTCAAATAAGCATATTAAAAACCTAACTCAGAATACAAAGTCATAAAATGGTTCATTCTCACCATAACCACCCTAACCTAAGATGAACATGAAAGAAGGACAAACATCAAATCATTGGTGCTGTCCAGATTGAGCGATATAATACACATTATCATCTAAATAAAGTCTTGTACTGAAAACTGCTGAATTACACCACTCTAGATGTCTTCTTCTTCTTCTTCTTTGGCGATCACTCATAGCCGAGTAAGATTGTCTTCCATAGACACAGTTTTAACAAAGAGTCCGTAAGTGACTGTGGAGGCCAATTCTGGTCCCACACGTCCTTCCACAGTTG